CTTCAGTTTAGTTAACTGTTTGTGTAAATACTTTTTCAATGTCACCGGAGAAGTTGGAGCAAAAAGACCTGGGCGTCAGGATGTGGAGGACCTTGAAGGGGTAGGATGTCTTTGGACTTCACCTGCAGGGCTGCAGGACCCTGATGGAAGGTTTTAAGCAGGGGGAAGGCGTGCTCCCCTGTGTGGTTCAGACAGATCCCTGGGTGGCAGTGATGGAGAGAGCAGTGGTGCTGGAATATTTTCCAGCTGTTGGGGCCCAGCTCCTGAGATTCTGATTCAGAGGGACAGTGGTAGCCACCCCTTATCTGCAGAGGGTGTGTTCTGAGACCCCTCCGGTGGATGCCTGAAACCACAGACAGCACCCAACGTTCACCTTTTCTCTTAAAGGAAGCAATTGCCAGCGTCTCTTTGGTGTAACCAAATTCCCAGCATCACTACTCATGACGTTTGGGGCCTTTATTAAGTAAAATGATGGTGTTTTGAACACAAGCACTGTGATACCATGACAGCCAATCTGATAACCTAGCCGGCTAAGTGACTAATGGGTGGGGATTGCAGCGTGGATCTGCTGGAAAAAGGAATGACTCATGTCCCTGTTAGGACAGTGAGATTTTATCACGCTGCTCGGAATGGTGAGTGAGCAACGTAAAACTTATCAATTATTTATTTCTCTTTTTTTTTTCGTTTAGTATTTTGGGGTCACAGTTGACCACGGGTAAATGAAAACTGTGGCAATGGAAACCTCAGACTGCTGTATGTGTTTGTCGTTGTAACAAATTCACAGGTGATATTGATGCTGGCGATCCAGGAATCGCTCTGTGGGAACTCCTGGTAAAGGTATTGCAGGAAGGCAGGGGGCTGGGGAAATGTATGGGCAGCTGTTTCAAGTGAAAGATTCAAGGAAGCGAATGGAGAGTTACCGTCCTGGGTTGATGGGGCTGCTGTCCCGCTGGGGAGGAAGCGTAGCCTGGAAGATGTTGCCTATTGCTTAGTCCCATGCACCATTCCCCGCACTTCCTGTTGCACCTCTTGCTGCTTTTGACACCTCGGATAGGGCTTCCTTCCTTTGGTTAGGCCACTTTCTCCTAGCTTCCCTCCATCCCACTGACACTGTTTTTTCCTTCGTTCCTCTTCCAGCATTTCCCAGGCTCCAATCCTGATTCATTTTCCCTGGGGGGAAATTGGGGGAAAACGGTGGGCGGGGGGGGGGGGTCTTCAGCAGCCCTCAGAACTTCAACTCTCTCCTGCTACATAGTAAACACTCAAAAGTGTTTGTAAAATAACTTAGAGTCCATCCGCTGATTTTCTCTGTTCCTCAGTGGTCCACAGGTCTAGGACCTTATCTATTGCCTCTGTCTTAATATTTCTTCCCAGAACAGAGTGGCCACACAGTAGGTGCTCAATAAATATTTATGAACAAATGGATAATTCCTTCACCATTTTGTTAGCTCTGTAAATGCAGGCAAATTACTTAATCTCTCCAAGTTTCAAACTCTTTATGTGGACAATGGGTTTAGAAATATAATTGACCTCCTAAGAGTTGCTTTGAGGATGAAATAAGATAATGCATGTAAAGTGTTTAGCCCATAGTAAACATTGTCTACTATTACTGTAGTTTTTATTGTTGGTACTCCTGTGACTTTGGGAGAGCTATTGAATTTGTCTGAACTTCATTATTGTCCTTTTCCACAATTACTCTCCTGCCGGGCTGTTGTGAGGGTAAGGCAGACAGTAGGTGTGTAATAAAGGCTAATTGTCTCTCCCCAAGCTGTCCCCTTCCCTACCCCTAGAGACCCCTGACTGCACTGGAGTGTTTTATCTCTTGATGGGCTGACAGGGCGACAATGGGTAGAAAGTGCTGGGGGTTGTGGCTGAGCTCCCAGGCATTATTTAGAAACAAAGAACATTCCTTTTAACCTCCTAAGATCTACATCCCATTAACACTTGTTCTCTTTAACTGTGTCTTCCTAAAAAGATTAGCATAGGCTGATAGGGAAAGAGAGAAAATTAAAAACAAAATGTGAAATCAACTCAGTCGTTGAGAGTCACCTCAAACCAGGTTGGCAAAGCAAACATTCCTGGATATTTCTTCTAAATTTGGAGCTAGTCTGAATTTTCCCCAGGAGGGTCTAGAAGAGAGAAAGATTATTGCCTCAGCTTTCATGGTGGGTGGTAGAGTCTTTTTAGTTTTACTCTGTTTTTTCTAAATGGCTCCCTGTTCTCATCCTGTTAGCTTGCTTCTACCCTCCTCTGAAATAGGCCTGTCGTGGTCTATAACCTCGAAGGAGGAGCCTTTTGTAAAACTACCAGTGCATTTGTAGCGTTGGGGGACATCCGTCAGCATTTTCTAGCCCAAGTGTTATTTATTGTTGGGAAGAAATATTTCAGGAGGCCTTAGCGTGTCTACTACAAAATTATTATTGACGGACCCAATCATAGGGTATTGCAAACCAGCCCCAGAAAACCCCCGAACACATCGTTTTCGTCCTCTTTCCCGAGCTTTTGCGCCAGAGTTTGTCTTAAAGACCAGCGGAGAACTCTGCATACACATCCCAGCTGTGAGGAACCCAAGCGTTAGGCTGGGATTGTGAACATTCTGTTCATTTAAACATTTGATAAGTTTTATAATCTGGATTTCCTTTTTTGCTTCCAAAGGGAAGCATGGAATAACATTTCCTTCCTCTTTACACATTCCATCCCTAAGAAACCCCACCCCAGGAATCCTGTAGGAGGGGCCCTAATTCCTGCAGACCCCTAGGTAAAAGCCACACTCACTATCAGCTTCTTCCTTCTGGTGTAGTCCAGCTGAATTGCATGCTCCTCCCCCTCCCTCTCCAATTCTTGTTTTTCGGTTTTTTTTTTGTTTTTTGTTTTTTTTTTTAGCCTACAAAATGGATTACACAATGGCATAGACTCTGGGGACTCTCTAGATTGGCTCGGAGGGCCCGTTTGGGTCGGGGTCAAGATCAACCTGGCTTTATGGGAAGACTGTTCCTTGGCTACCTAAATCTAAGATGAGAGCCAAAGAGGTTTTTGGAATGGTGCCCCTTCCATCCCCACAGCCAGGCTCTGCATCCCTGAAGTTGTTTCCTGAACCTCTGAAATGGGGGGTTGTTTTCCTAGTGAGGAACACTCTGGGGTTTTGTGGGCTTGCCCGGATTTAGTGATTCAAACTAACACCTTCTGGCTTCCCAAGTGAGTCACTGCAGGGCTGCTGCCCAGCCACAAAAGGGCAAAGAGTAAACTGTTTGAGACCGCCCCTGCCCTACCGTGACACTGCGAACCACACAACTTCTATGGATTCCACCTGCCTTTGACTTTAGGATATAGGGTGGGACAACTTGAAGCACTTAGAACCCAAAATAAAAGATCAAGAAAAAGACATAAAGGGCTTGATTAAATTATTGTAGGGGCCAGAGCCAAAGACGGTAATTACCTATTGATTTATGGGCGGTGGTGAATTAAAATCTCGTAGAGGACAGAAATCTGAAGATCTCTTGTGAGGCTGAGACAATGAGATAATTAGAACAGTGATAGTAGCTTCCTTTTCCCTATGTGGTCCACGTTCAAGTTTCTGGCTCAGGCTGTAGGTTTTCAAAGGCTCCTAATTAATAATATCTACATTCAAAAATGCCTTTTCATGTCCCAGGGATGAGCATGTGTCATAATTGTCCATGTGTGAAAGAAGTTGAGAGTCTGTTGTTTTCAAAATAATGACTCACACGACAAAGAGTAATTATACTTTATTTTATGACCTGCACAGTAGCAGTTCTAAACTGGCTGCTTCCCCAGAGCAACTGGCGAATCTCAACGAGTGGCTAAGGTAGGAGGCAATACGAGTTCTGGACGTCTCAACGTGAAAGGAAAAACTAAACAATGACCTACAAAGTAACACAAACAACGGGGACCTGACGTCCGACAGGGCCTGCCTGTTGAAATGAAAGACACAGAACCCACGAGATGGGTGGCTCCTGTTCAAGCGAGTGGCACATCAATTCCTTGGGGCCTCTTTGCGGAGTGGTGGAGCAGTTAAAGAGCGGGTCGCCTGGGTTTGAATCCCAGCTCTACTCTTCATTGTCGGTGGAGCTTGGCCACATGGATGAGACTTTCTGTGCCTCAGTTTCCCTTTCTATTGTGAGGAAATCAACAGCACCTCTTCCTTCACAGGGTTGCTGTGGTGTTGGCTGAGGAAAATACTTAGAAGAATGCCTGGCTCCCAGGTAGTAGGGTATGGTTAGGACAGAGCAGTCCTTCAGGCCCTCAGCCCAAAGCCTTCTTGATCCCCACGTTTTCAGATAAGCGAAGACAGGAATGAAGAGTTGAGTGTTTTTCAGCAAAGGTGGGACTTGGATGCTGCCTTTTTATCATCGGTGCAGCCTCAGAGAAGCCACATCACCTCTCTGAACTTCTGTTATTTCTTTGCTTGTAAAATTAAGGTTAACAGCCTGCCCCCCAGAGCTTCTCTGGGGCTTACGAGATAACCGGTGCAGAGGGTCTGGCAGCTGGTAGGATTGGGCAAGCAGCAAACTGCGGTTTCTACTCTTCCTCCCCCACCTACTCTTTCGCTGGGCAGAGCCCTGGGTTTGCATGGAATCGGGGAATGACACGGGTTAACAAAAGAGAGGGTTTCTCCTTCATTCTCCTCCCTACCCCCCAGCCCTCAACCCACACCCCTTGCATACTTAACTGCTATCTGTAGTCTCTAGCACCCCTGTGCCTCTTTCTGCCTCACCCAGCTCACCAGCTTACTGCTCTTCCATTCTGTCAAGTATCAACTCTGGCCCTGCTGGCCTTTTATCACTGACCTCCAGGAAGCATCTTATAACCCCGATAAGTTAAAGACCTTAAGGCCCCCAGACCCATTTTAACAAAGCCCTTGTCCCTTCGTAAATAACTTCTTTTCCCATCTTTGTAACTCCCTCCTTCAAGGGCCAAATTCTGTTAATTTGTCATTGATGAAAAAGAGAATGAAACAAAGAAGAAACAAAACACTCACAAACTTAAGATTTGGCTCCATTATATATTTGCCAGATATTTTATTTTTTTCTAAAAACAATAAAAAAAATCAATTTTAAAAAGGAAAATGTATTTAAATAAAAAAATTATGGTTTATAATACACATACAAGTTTGTAATCTTGTATAACTACTTATAAACGTTTTATTAAAGTTATTTACATTTGATGGTCGTATTTACAAAGGAAATTTTAAGATTCTTTCTTAAAAAACAATTCTTAAATACAAATTTGTTAAAGGGCAGGGGGGAAAGAAAAGATGGCAAGCATAAAAAAAGTTCTTTTATGCCCAATGTTCCATTTGAGGCAGTTTACATTATGGCCACGCCTTTCAGTCCTAAGACCCAGCCACGGTTGTGCGGTTGCACTATACCATGCATGTGGAAGGAAAAAAAAAAAAGTCCAGACATATAATAAATTCTGCCTTTTTGTCAGAAGGAACCTTTTTCCTTACTTTCTCTTAGCAACAACTGAGAAGTCATAAGTGATTCTAGTTCCTCCCTCCAATAGGTCAACCTTTATGCACAAGAGTTCCGTAGCTGTTCGAGTTTGTGTTTCAACTGTTCCCGTCGTTTCCGCAATACGTCCTTTTCCGAAATGAGCTTTTGCTCCTCTGCTTGGATGGCCAGGATGTAGGCGGTGGCTTTCTTAAGGATGACTACCTTGGGGGCTTTTTCGTTGTTTTCCAACTCCGGGATCTGGTCGCGCAGGGCGAAAAAGCTGCGCTTCAGCTCATTCCTCCGCTGGCGCTCCAGGACGTTGTGCGTCCGCCTCTTGTCGTTCTCCTCCGTGTCCGAGGACCTGGGGCTGGAGCATTTGCGGTTGTTGCTGATCTGTTTCAGGACTCTGCCACTGTCCAACTTGGCCCTCTTGGCGGGAGGATAGTCCTTCCTCGTGGATGGGGGTGCCGCGTAATTGTGCTGATGGGTAGACACGTGGCATCGCTTAAGGACCAGTGGGCTGTGAGGAGGTTTGCTGTGACTTCTGGCCGAGGGTGACCCCGATTCTGACCTTTTGGCAGGGGGCTGCCTCTTTTCCACAGAGACAACATCAATTTCCTCGTCTTCCTGTTCTTCCTCTTTAAGAAAGGAAATAGAAATCACCCGGTTAGCAACATTTCCTTAAATTATCAATGACTACATTACACTAATGCTCTATAAAATATAAGATATTATTATAGGAGGAAGGACCCTGGCACAAAATTAACCAATCACCCTGGCTCTCCCCCCCACGAAGGCAGAATGACAGCTGGATTCATGGCACAGGCCAGAAAATTACAATTTACCAGGATACAATTTCGGTGCCAGTTCTTACCTAAGACTTAATGAGGCTTTGGACACACCCAAAGCACATCGCATTCCCAAGCACCTCCTATTTTTAAGGGACTTTACCAAGAACCCTTCAGATGTTGCAAAGGATAGCTGCAAGTTTCTTGGTAAGACTTTAGCAACTCCCTACTTTACTGGAAGTGCGGGGGGAAAAAAACATCTTGCAGCTTTGCCAGAGTCCTAGGGGGTGGGGGAAGGAAGAAAAGTCCAATTTTGGAAAGAATTTGCTTGTAAGTTTTTGAGAGAGGGTGAAGAGAGCCTAACCTCCCAGCTCCCTCACTCACTCTTGAGTGCACTGGCACTCCTTTGCACCCTCGGGCGGGAGGCTCCCCTGCCCGCCTCTGTCCACAGCCCCCCTTCCGTGCAGAAGACCCGCAGTGGGTTCCACTCCAACACTTCTCAAAAAGGAAGAGGGAGGTACTTCCTTCTCTCAAAGAGATCCATCCTCCCTTAATCTCATCCACCCTACTCCCTTCCCGGTAGAGCAATTAAAATGCTTCAGAAAGGTAAGAGGGAATGGATTAAGTTGCAAGATAAATCAGGAAGATTTAAAATCCAAACGAAATTCCTAAGGGGTGGGAAGGTAAGGAAGGCGCTGGCTACTAGGGCGGTCCTAAGGGGAAGGGGTGGGAGGGAAGAGTCAAGCCCAGTGCTTCTGGGACTCTGGAGTTTGCAGATCGCTCCAGATCAGCGATTTCTTCCCCAAACCCAAGAAACGAGAAAAGACGGTGTCAAATGAAGTGGCCAGCAGAATTAGCGGCCAATGAGAGTAAGAAAGAAAAAAAAGACAGCCAGCCCGCCCGTCCCCTTTGTCAGGGGTCCAGCTTACCAGAGTCGCTGCTGGTGGTGGGTGGTGTGTCTTCGTGGTGGGCCAGGGGCTCGGGGGTGGCCCGTGGGGAGGAGGAAGCGGAGGAGAGCAGCGAGTCCGAGGACGGAGAGAAGGCGGTGGAGTCAGGGGAGGCGCAGGGCTTGGGCGAGCTGCTGTCGTTGAGGGGGTAGGGGAAGACCACGGAGGGGTCGATGCATTCGGAGGCTGCGGCGCTCAGGTCCTGCAGGTAGAGGCTGGAGGTGGAGCAGGCGCCGTGCCCTCGGGCGGGGCTGCGGCTGCCGCCGTCTTTCCGCGCCGCCTGGTAGGAGGCCAGCTTCTCGGAGACCAGCTTGGCGGCGGCAGAGAAGCCGCTCCACATACAGTCCTGGATGATGATGTTTTTGATAAACGTCTCGTCGTCCGGGTCGCAGATGAAGCTCTGGTTCACCATGTCTCCTCCCAGCAGCTCGGTGACCATCTCCAGCTGGTCTGCGGTGGAAAAGCTGCCGCCGCCGCCGCCGTCATCGACATCCCTGGGGGAGAAGGATGCGAACGCAACGTAGGAGGGCGAGCAGAGCCCGGAGCGGCGGCTGGGCGACAGGGGCGGGGTGGGCAGCAGCTCGAACTTCTTCCAAATATCTTCGCTGGGCGCGGGGGGCTGCAGCTCGCTCTGCTGCTGTTGGTGGTAGAAGTTCTCTTCCTCGTCGCAGAAGAAGTAGGGCTGCATGGAGTCGTAGTCGAGGTCATAGTTCCTGCTGGCGAAGCTGACGTTGAGGGGCATCGCGGCAGCCTGCTGAAGGGGGCACACAAAGGGGGGCAATTATTAAGTTAAGGGGGGGTCTAGGTGGTGGTGCGCCTCAACCCTGCGCAGCGCGCGCCACAGGCACGAACCACTCCCCTTCCAGCGGTATCCCCAAAATGGGCCAGTGGCGAGAAGGGCGGGTGCCAAAAGGACACCCCTGAACCCCCTTGTTGGGACCTCCTATCTCGGACACATACTTGGTGAGCCAGCCGCGGAGCGCCAGCGGGACTTCGGTCCCCCAGGAGCCCAGAGCGCAAAGCCTAGGACTCGGCGCCGCCGGAGCAGCAGCAGCAGCAGCCGCAGAGCAATCGAAATCGGCTTTGGCCTCGAAAAGAGGCCGGGAGAGGCGCTGCGGCGGGAGCGGCTGCGCCCCTTCTCGCTCGCACCCTCGCCGCGCTCCTTTCCCCGCGGGCGCCACCGCCCCTCCCAGCCTCCTTCTCCATCCCCACCCTTACGGCGCCCCCTCTCGTCTTTGCCGGCTTTTCTTCTTTTTCCTCGCCGGCTGGGGCGGCGAGTTCGGCCCCGGCCCTTAACACCCCCCTCCCCAAATAAAAGGGGAGGTATTGGAGAATAATAGGGGCACCTCCCTGCAACACCCAATACGGCTACGCAACTGCGCCAGAGCCCCAGCTGCGATTCCGCGCCCGGAGCGGGGGCGCCCTTCCCTTCACCCGCGTAGGATAGCAGCTGTTCTGAAAAAGCCCGCAGCCCGGCTCCCGGCGGTCCCCTCCACATCTAAGGGGCGCGGGGACACCGAGGCGGCGGGGGAGCCAAGGCTGAGCGCGGCGGAGATCTGCCCTCGTTTTTTTTTTTTTCTAAATCAAGGAATCCAGGAGGTTCGGGCACATCCCTGTTCCAGCCTTCCCTCTCCACCTCCCTGCCCCTCTGCAACACCAAGTCCTAACACCTCGGTACACCAAGGTCTTTTAATTATACTCTTCTTTTTAGAAGCCAAATACCAACTTCTGAAAAGAAGCAGGGGACGGGTTGGAAACGCCAGAGGAATCGGCGGGCTCGCCGCGCCGCAGTGTCTCCGGCTGTCAGGAATGTGGTCAAAAAAGCTGAAATTTAAATGTCCTTTCGGAGACTGGGGAGAAGTGGGAGGCTGCGCGAGTTCTCCAGATCACACCGAAGGATACGCAGCCCTTCCTCCTAGGAGCTCAAGATGCAAAGGTCTTTCTGCCCAACACGAAGCATAGCGACCCCTCCCTCCCTCCAACCCCCCTCCCCCGGAAAAAGCCTCAAAGCAATTAATGCAATAAAGCAGGAATGTCCAACCGGCCGGACTCGGCGTCAATATCCATCGGCAAAAATCTCCAAAGGCTTGTTTGAAATACGCGTTCCCGTTTTCTCTTGCATTCCACGCTCCCATCTTGATCAGGCACTGTACCCCACCCCGAACTACCCCAACTACTCTGCTAAGTGTCAACAGTACAGGATTGGGAGAAAAGACACCCCAAATCCGGTATGGGACTCATCGCGTCCATAAAGCGGCAGGAAAATAAATAAGTAAAAGACAAATAGATCTGGGTGCTTACCGGGTTTCCCACTATCCGAAGGAAATCCAGCGTCCAAAAGCGGCCAGGGGCGCCTTTCAGGGGAGCGGGTCGTCGTCCGCAGCGGGGAGAAGAGTCTCCGCAAATAGACAGAAGAGCCTCTCCGCGTCCGGAGAGCGCGTCCTCCTCGGCTGTTGTATAAGTTCCAGGGGGAAAGTGCCCGCCCGCTGCAAGGGGCAAAGTTTCCTGGATGGGGCGAGGGTTGCGGATCGCCGGCAGGGGTCGGCTGGAAGGGCCGAGAGGAGGTGGCTGGGCCGGAGGCGGAGGAGCCCCCCTTTCACTCCGATCTCCCAGCCCCGGGCGCTCCGAGCGCGCTAGTAGACTCGCCCGGCTCGCTCGGCTCACCCCGGCGGGTCCGCCCGCTCGCTCCCTCTGCCTCTCGTTCGTATTACTACAGCAAGTCAGATAGCCGGACTTATATCGGTTCCTTCACCCTGTCCTTTTCCCGCCAAGCCTCGGACTAGCCCTGCCCTTCGCGAGGCGGGGATGGGGGGGCGGGTGGGAGGGTAGGAAGGCGGCAGGCGCGACGCGTGAAAGGCGGTGGTAGCAGCCGCCGCCGCGAGAAGCGCAGCTGGGGGGTCCTGCGGCTCGCAGACCCTCGCCTATAAAGGACCGGTGGGCGGGATCGCGAGAGAGGATCTTTTTACAGCCCCCCGCCCCAACCTCTGGGAAACCGGGAGGGGCGCCTGGGCCGAAGGAGGGGCGGGGGAGGAGACTCAGCCTTGGCGCCTGGTACTCTTGGGCTGGGAGCAGTCAGATATTACGAGGCAGGTCGGAGCACTAATTACACTGCGCTCGCCTACCATTTTGCGCCGGCTCGAGCCGGGTCCCTTTCTCTCTGCTGTTCTGGCGCACCACTCGGCGTGGCAGGCCGCTCGCTGGTCCTGCGTGTTTAAATCGTCGCAGGCGGAACAGCTGAGCTCCCTACACTGAGAATACACTGTGTACTCGCGGCCACGCTACTCACGTCCCGGGCGGCTGCGGGCGTTTTGCTAAGGCTGGGGAAAGGGCAGCGTTTGGAATAAATGCTATGAAGAGAGGCGGAAAGAAAGGGTATTATTTATGGTTGTGCGCTGAGTGTGAGGGAGGGGGTATAAGCGTGGATGGGGATAAGTGATGAGAGCTGAGAAATGATGCCTGAAATTATTAAAAGAACTCCGCAAAGCACTGCCACGTATACTTGGAGAGCGCATTATGAATAAACACCCATTGCACTGGTGGGGGGGGGGTGTTATGCTTTGTGTGTGTCTAGTTATCTCGATTGGGCACCTTCTGCCAGAAGGACTCCCCCAATTTGCTGCCAAGGCAGCAGACCCCCCTCCGCGCCCCTCCCGAGCAGACCTACCCAGTACGCGTTAATCTATGAGATCTTTCTGCGCGTTCGGCGCTGGAATAAGGGTGATGCTTAGGAGTTGTAGATGCGCGCTGCGGGCTTCCCTCCTCCCGCTCTCTGCGGGTGTGTACCCCCCCTCCCCCCGCTGCGACGTCCCATCGAATCCCTGCGCCTCTTGGAGTTCCAGTGCCGCAGCCAGTTTTCAGAAAAATCCTATTTGCGCCAGTAGCTCGGGTTTACACCAGCCTGGGGCTCCCAGGTTTCAGGAAAATCAAAGGCTTTAGATGGGAGAATATTGGAGAGGAGTAGAGAGAACCGCGGGACGGGACTCCCCAGAAGGGGGAGATGAAGCGAGCTTGGGGTCCCTGTCCGGGGTCCCAGCAGAGACCCCGGTGAAGAAAACCGTTAACTCCTTCCTCCTTGGACAAACCGGACCTTGAACTTCTTTGCTGGTCTTTTTTTTTTTTTTTCCTTTACTAGTGGAACCATGATCAACATGAAAAAAATGCCCCGATTCTGATCAAAGGAGAGGATACAAGTATTACTTCTGTGCCTTTTGGGGTGGTGTTCTTGATAAAAAAAAAAATTGGCCGAGTTTCAGGCACTAATTTCCTAGTTCACTGACCCTAAATTTTTGTTCTGAACGCCATAGTGAAAGTTTCTCTGTATACTCAGCGTACAAGCTATTTACATTTCACGTGCACTTCAACCCAGAATGTTGCCCAACACGACATATGATTTATTCTCTGCCTGAAGGAACCTATACTTAATATTTAACGCATATTCTCTCAGGATTTGCGACTTTGCATTATTCTAGGGCATTAAAAACGAAGGGCATTTTCCCATGCCTGCACCTTCACCCAAAGGCATTGAAAGTTTTCCACTTCTTACCCCCGCTGCTCCGTATCCCAAAAGAAAGAAGAGAAACAAACAAACAAACAAACAAACAAACAAACAAACAAAAAACCTCGGGGCGGGCGTGCGTATGTAATGTGCTAGTGTTCAAGGTAAATTATTAGCCGTTGAGTTTGCAGCTCAGCGTCCGATTGTTGAATGAGTAGTAACTTCCTCCAACTCAAGCGTCCAGCACAATTCAGCTTTAAGGATTGCAAATTGCTCCAGCCTCCAGGCCTTTGCCGCAAACGCCCGGAGCGACCGGATCCCAGTTCATGGTTTTGCTGCAAAGCCGGCTTCTCTCGCCCCCACCTCTGGGGCTGCACTCGCTGGGGTTTGCGAAAGTAAAGTAAGTGTGCCCTCTACTGGCAACTGAGATTACCACGCCCGGCTGGCCGCTGAGGGCAGAGGGCAGGGTGGGGGGCAGGGGCATCCGGCTCTGGAGCTCAAGAGTTAGAGTGGACGTAAGTATCCCAAAGCTCCTTAAAAATCAGTTTCCAGCCATCTCTTCAGGATTCCTTCAAGTCGACTGCAAAGGGGAGGCAGGAAGAGGAATTCTTGGAGGGAAAAATGGTTCAGAGGCGGTCATTCAGCCACAGGAGCGGTGGTGAAAACAAACCCATCCCTACTTACTGAAACAATGGACATCACCCTATGGAAAACTCATGATATTTACGGCAAATGTGAAGTAATTAACAAGTACACGTGCAGGAAAATAATACCAGCAGAACTGTGATGTTGCAAAGCAAGCTTTTGCCTACAGTCTTAGAAAGCCATCATCTCCTAACTACCAAATTTTAAAGCAGGACACTGGGCTTATTGTGGAAGGGGAGGCTCCATGGAAAGTGAGGGGTACTTGGCTTTGCTTATTACTAATTTTTTTAAAACATGGGCCTGGTGAGTGATAGCTAGACGTTTGGATGGGGGTGGCACATTTGAGATTTCGTGGAAAACAGCGTGAAGGATTTTAATTTTTAAAAAAAGTTTTTATACTTAAAAGACTGGGCAATGCTGTTCCAAGGAAACGTGGAAGGAATTTACAAAGCATATTTAGGAGGTGCAAATACTTCAGGTGGGCTTTTGTGGGACAAGGAGGATGCTTGAGAGTGTCTGATCACCTAGATATCTCCTCAGGAAATTTGGCAACAGGGGGTCCTTCCTGGAAGGGCCCTCTTAGGGCGATTTCCCAGGAATCTGGCACTTTTGGCATTGCTCTCCTGGAGGCTGAAGAGACTGCTTTCTACAGTGGAAAGAAACAAAAGCAAAAACACCCCCCACCAACCAGCCAACCCAAGGACAACCACCAAGGTTGGTCTAGCTTGACTTCACAGCGTAGTTTCTGAACATTGCTAAAGATGGCAGATATGCCCCATCTTGAGGTCTGAACACTGAATTACGCCAGCCCTTGCGTAGGGCGTGCGAACCCCAGGAGATGGGCTGCTGGTGGATGGGGCTCTCTCTCTCGTGCTCTTTCTCCGCCAGGCTGCTGACACCCCCTGCGGAGTCACTTTCAAGGAACGGCTCGGGGTGTTTCGTGTTCTCAGACAATGTAGGGACCACCTCATTTCATGACGGAGGAAACGGAAAGTCAGATCTCGACCAAGTTAAGGGACGTGACTATCTTTTTTTTTTTTTTTTTAAAGAAAATGTTAAGCACCAACTAGACCTAAAATAGACATGTGTTGAGTTAAGGAGTGGCTGAGGTGATTACCAGATGACCCAAGTGATCCATGGTTCCCGGAAAGGCGAAATTGGAAATAAAAGAATAAAGGATTAAAAAAAACAAAAAACAACACCTCAAAGAGTTTCTAATCCTGATCACCCAGAGATAGCTGCTGGAATGTATCTATCTCTTCAGGAGACTTTTTAAGGGACAACTTGGGTCTTCTACTTCTTTTTGGAAGTCAGTGGAAGGTGTCTGTTGACGGGACAATCCTGGTTTGCTGGTCTAGGCTTTGACGCTCCTTTGTTTTCAGTGCTGTTTGGTTTCCGAGAAGAGGCAGGTCTTCGGCAGGGCAGCTGTGGTATCAGCCACAGGGTGGGGACTCCAGGTAAACAGCCCAGAGGACTGCCCCATGGGGGGTTGTCTCCACAGCCTCACCAGCCAGAAGCACTCGTTCACATTATGCCGTGTTCTCCCACGACCGTCCTGTCCCTCTCACACTTAGGGGAAAAAGCGATGCAGAAAGAATGAGCAATTTGACCAAACTTTCTCTTTTCTTTCCAGAGACACGGGTGAGGTTCAGAATGTGTGACTTGTATATCACAACACCGGTCCCCACCCCCAGCCCCTTCTTTGACTGTCTCTTCCCCAACCCCTCGGGAAGTTTCCTACAGAGTTGGTCTTGGGCAGATAACAGCAGTGACTAATAGGGAAGAAACTGCACCCCAGTGATCAAGAAGCTAGCTCCAAGGTGGGGGAGAGGCAGAGCACCCCTCAGGATGGTTGGGCTATTACCTGAAATCTCCTTCAAGTCACGTGGGGCCGGTGAAGGAGGGAGGCAGGCGAGGACAGGGAATGATAAATACCTATCTCCTGCAGCAGAAAGATCATTGGAAAGCAGGGCTGTGAGATGAAAAACCGAGCTAGCCAGGGAATATTAAAGGAAGGGAAGTTTGCACAAGCATTTTAATGCCAACCATGTGTCCCAGTGCGAGGAACCCAGGGACGCTCTTACGCAGAGAAGAAAAGGAAATTCGGCATCACTAATTCATAGGCATGATAAGGAAAAGTGAGTTAAGAAAATCTGAGTGCACTTTTAAAAAATGCATCTATTTAGAGTGCTGTCTCCTCCCCTTCACTTGCTTCTAGTATACTGCATCAATGAAAGCAGCTGAGAAGGAAAAAAAAATCAGTAGATTTTTAAACACAAAACCCTAGAGCCTACACTTCCTGGGTTTCATTGAGTGTGTGCTTGGTCGCTTTCTAATCCACTGGCGTCCAGACCTCAGACCCTGGCAGAGGGTCCTAGGCTAGATCCAGTAGACCTTAGTCTCAGCTGGGCATCCTCCTTTTCCTCCTGAGTCCTTCGCTGTGAACCACCTTACTTTGTAGCTTCGAGAGAAGACAGATGGTTCCTTTGTTTCGTCTCTTCAAAGGCCCGGTTAGTTGTTCTGTAAATGCCCAAACCAAGCCAATCTTAGAAGTTCCCACACGTTTGCTCACTTGGCCCGTCTTTGCTCTGGTGCTTTTGGGTAGCTCTGTCCCCAGGACGGGCCCTGGTTGGGCTGGAGATGGAGATGACTGGGAAGGAGATACTTCTGCTTTTCCATTGCGACCTTCATGTGGAAGCCAGTGGGAAAAGGAGCCTGTGTCTTTTACGGACTTGCAGAATCCCCAGTGAAGGCCTCTGTCATCCTGAGAGTAGCTCATCTTTGATTGTCTTCCTGCTTCAATGGCCTGTACCACCCGTAACTCCTTTTCAGTGGGTTTCATGGCAGAAGGAGGTTTCTCGAAGGTACCTAGTGACTGTCCATCACCGAGGCCAATGGCCTCGTTCCCAGTTCCCGTTTTCCTGCTTGACTTTGCAGCCGTCAGGGAAACTGATAATGAGAAGGGAGTGAAGAAAATCTGAGTGCATGTGTTTAGAATGTTGTCTCCCATCCCTTTTGGAAATGATCGCTCTTTAAAAAAAGTTATTTATTTGTTTATTTATTTATTTATTTATTTACTTGAGAGAGGGGGAGGGAGGGAGAAAGAGAGGAAGAGAAACATTGATCGGCCACCTCGGTTGCCTCTCCCGAGGCTGACCGAACCCACAACCCAGGCATGTGCCCTGATGGGGAATCAAACTGGCTGGCTACCTTCAGCTTTGCAGGTCGATATCCAACCCATTGAGCCGCATTGATCAGGGCACAATGATTGCTCTTCTGAATCTTGTCAATCAGTGGTTCTCAGCTAGAGGTGATTTTGGCCCTGGGGGACACTGGCCAATGGCGGGAGACATTTGAAGTTGTTTCAAAGGGGTGAGGCTTGCTGCTGGGACCTCGAGGGTAGAGGCCAGGGATGCTGCAGCTCCATGTCCCCAAACAGCTCCGCATCAGAAAGCCATCAGGCCCAGTAGTTGGGTGGAGAGTCTCTGGTATTGCTCTACGTTCTAGCAACGCGATTTCCCCATTTCCAGCTTGTGCTGCTATTTCCCTGGTTGGCTCTCCTTCCTCCTTTGCCCACCACACGCAGCTGCTAGAAGCGTCCTGCCATTGATTCCTAATAGCTCCTCGTCTCCACTTAACCTTGCACTCGGATGACCTTTCCTCTTCCCTGAAAATTCCTCAGTGGCTTCCGAAGCTGAAACTGAGGCGCCATATCGTGCGCTCAGCATTCCAGGCCCGACTGCATCTGGTCTCCGCCTCACCCTGCTCCCCACAAACTTGCGCTTCAGAGAAACAGGTCTGTGTGTGGCCACTCTGAGTAACACGCCAGTCCTCACCTCAGCACCTCTGCTCGGGCGGTTCCTCCAGTCGTACTGCTTCTTCTTGATTTGTCTACAAATCTGCCGCCTTTCCTTCAGGACCCAGCAAAAGCCCCATTTTTTCCCATGGACTCTTCCTTTACGGCCCTGGCCCCGGGCCATCTTACAGAGTCATGCGAGTGTGGCGCGTGAAGCAGTCACGGAGAGCATTTATTAAGCTGCTCTGAGTCATGAACGTTTGTTCTCTGGGTGGGATGCAGGGGGTCCCTGGCTAAACTGGGCTAACCGTGGCCTTTTCTCGCCGTCAGAGAAGGAGCCCCCTTGCCCCTTCTCCGCGAGAGTATAAACGTCACAAGGGCAGGGATCAAGCCTGGCCCATAGTAATTACTCAATTAATCCTTTCAGAGAGGATGAGCACAGTTTCGCCCTCCCGTGGGTGAAGGAACGAAGCCAGTGGGTAGACCTTCTCCGTTACTTTCTGGCTATATCAGAATCTTGTCTACGAGCAGGGCATGGGGAATCAGCTTGCTTGGGGGCCTGTTCTGTCATCAACACTTGCTGAATGAGACAAGCCACAAGAGCTCTCTGATGCTCTCCTCCAAAATGGGACTCCCATAATCACGGCATCTATCTTATTGAAGATCTTGCAGAAACGAGATAACACATTTGATACAGAGCTCGGTGGCTGGCCCCCTGCACAGCACATGTTAGCAATTGTTAGCACAGGCCCTTCCTTTAGCAGACAATTATATTTTGAGCTACTTAAAGTTTAATAGTAGGTCCTCCACCTAGAGACCCCTGATATCTGTGTCCTCTGTCACTGCGTCAAGCATGAAAAGGGGAGGACCAACACACGTTTGTCACTGGCGCGATGAGAAGGGGAGGCCTGGCACCAGAGAGCTCGTGTAATGTTTGGTGACCAGGAATCTCATCCCACACCTCTCCTGTCTCCAGCTGCTCCAGGGCTGACCCACTATTCCAAGTGCTTACTATTTCATAGCCCCTGTTCATCCAGAAAAAGCAACATTCTGGAAGCGCTGGAAGGCACAATTCTGCATTGTTCCTATTTAATAAAAATCAAGACATGACGTTAGAATTTCCCTTCTTTGACTGAGTTCACGCGCTATCCGGCGGCTGACCACCAGGGTGTGGTCCCAGAAGACACAGAGTCCCAGGCAATACGTTGGTTCTTGGCTGGACAAGCTGTTTTCTTGCCCTGGTGAGCTGACCTAGACCTTGGAAAGATGTTTCCTCCAAAGCATAGGCCAACACCAATGTGTACAAATGCAGGCGCAGAGACTCTAACTGCTAACCCACAAGGGTTGCACACCCAGAGGCCTCGGGGACCCAGCGGGAATTGTAAACGAGGCACATAATGGGGAGGGGTGCGGACTGAGACAAACTGGAGAGTATTTGCCTGTGTAGCCGCTACTCGGCACCTGCCCATATTGCCCTTCGATATGGGGCCAGTGACGGCGCACTTCCAATGTCTCAGGGAAGGTGAAAATCAAAGCTTTAAAATGTTGGCAACCAATTCAAAAAATTATGTGTAGAAGCCAAACATGCTTGTGGGGGTAGGTTCGGCCCTCAGCTGCCCGCCCCCCCCCTCCCCGGGGTCACTGATTTGGGTCTTGGGAACCCAGTGTTCTCCTCCGGGACTTGTCCAGATGCCTGCCCCTCCCCTTGAGGGTCTTAGCCATTTCCTCATCCTTTTGTGATTGGCTGTCAGACAGCTGCCTGCTGTTGTGGGCTTCCACGTCCCAGTCCTTGACCAGAAGCGTCTGGGGTCAGGATGGCTCGTGTCTTACTGTGGGTGAAAAAAGGGGTTTATGGAAAGTCACCTCATGGGGTGATCTGAGCATAAATTCCTTACAGAGCAGGTTGTGGTGGGTAGTGTCCCCCGTCCCCGGGGCCTATAACTTCTTCAGTGAAAGGTTTTTAGCCAGCCCTGTGCATTGTTCTTGTGCATCCAGGTTAACACACCTTAGAAATACCAGAAGTGATATCCCACGCAGGGGGCAGTAACCCTCAAGAGAGCACGTAGTTTTGTTAACTGTCCTGTAATCCAATCCCCACCTTGCTCTCTCCCGTCTTCCTGTCCCTCCTTGATCTTGAATGCATCAAAGAAGCTGCAACACTGTTATTCTCCACAGCATTTGAGATCTTGCTCCCCAGCATACACAGTCAGTTTGTCTCAACACAAAAATTCTCCGCAGGCTTGGATGTTTTTTATGTTGATGTCACATCTGCACGTGTCACAAGAGCCTTCGTGTTCGGGGTGCCGTCGATGGAGCCTGTGGTTTCTAGGGCCCAGCACAGGGCCCGGCACGTGGTAAGCTCTTGGTAAAGGCTTACTGAATGAATGATATTAGGGGGAGCTTCCAAGCGAAAGGCACACCCAGCCCAGCCCAGGTTTTTTTGTTTTGTTTTATTTTATTTTATTTTAATTTTATTTTTTAATTACAGTTTGTATTCAGTATTATTCTGTGTTAGTTTTAGGTGTACAGTATAGTGATTAGACAATCATATACTTGACACAGTGATCCCCTGGCCCTGTACACAGTTATTACAATATTACTGACTATATTCTCTATGCCCCCAGTTTTAATCAAAAGAGAGAGAAGCTTTGAGAATTCCCCCTTGCTCGCATCCCACCAACGGACAGGGCCTTGCTCACGTGACCTTGATGACAGGCTAGGCCCTGAGCTGGATGCGGGGAAGGGATAAGGATTGGAGACAGCCCAGAGGAGTAAAACGGGACTCAGACCAAACTGCACAACAGTTAAAACAGCGCCCCCTGCAGTTCCCTTTCTTCCCGATTTTGTAGTCCCTCCCAGAGGAGAACCCGACCTGAACCGAGGAGAGGGAGGGAGGTGACAGACTGTGAGGACAGGACTTGGGCCAGGGGGAAGGAAGAGTGGGTAAGAGGATGAGGGTGTGGGGGGAGCTCCTAGTGTCAGAGTTTTCAAGTGGAAAGTGATCACCTGTTATTCGGCCATCAAATTAGTAAAATAGGTTGTGCCCATTTTCACAAAAATGGACTAGAATAAAAAAAAATCAAAGTTATCAAAACATATTCCTGATTAATTAATATGAATTTCATGAATCCTCCCTCTCTCTCTTTCTCTCTGTGTGTTTGAACTTGGCCATGATATGAAACGCATCTCTAGCCGTGATTTAAAGATGTCAGAAGACCCCTGCACAGGCGAAAGCACACAGCTTTGCAGTCCCACCAGCTGTGGCAGTCCTGCGGGGCCCGGTAGGCCCAGGCTGATATTCCGGCACTGACTTTCAATGATGTGGAGCCTTGGAGAGATCGTGTCCCCGAAGCAGGCCTCGGTTTCCCCATCTGTAGAAAACGGTGACAATCATAACTGCTCTTGAGAGTGGTCCTGAAGATTAAATTGGAGCATAAGCCCTCAGTGCCTGTTTTGTTGTTGTCAGGATTAGCAGCGTTCTTTATCTCATAGCTGCTGGTTTCTTTGTTTTTCTCAGATTGATGCCCTTGCCTACCTCCGAGGATCCTGTAAGGACTTTGGGAGAAAATGCACGTTAAGCTCCAAGCTCTGGGCCTTCGTTGGCATCTTGGTGGGCATCCATGTAGCATAGGATAGGTCTTCCTGCATGTGTCACCATGAGGTCCCTGCAGCCAGCCTCCAGTCTGCAAAACTAAATGGACTCCTCTCTGTGCCCCTCAGTCCGAGGGAGCGGGAATACCAGTGCCTTCGGGAACCCTTGCCTGCTGCCCGTGGGCCGTCTTGGAATTGTCACCCCTTGCAGCATCTCCGCGGGGAGGGAGGTGAGGGAGCGTGGATGTTGGGAACTGGCCAGGGGACTTTACAGGTACAACAAAGAACCTTTTAAAAGGACTGATTTGGTAATAGGCAGAGGGGAATTCCGTGGATAAATAATAATTTATGCAAGGGATGCCATCTGCTTCCCTGTTGAAGCATTAGTGCGTAATTGCAGGCTCGAGTCCCTTCCCATGCCTGGCCCTTTACCTTTCAACTCCCCAAATAATTAGAGTGACACCCACTTCCCCCGCCCCCAGGATGACTGGGTTGGGAGGGGAGGCCTGGGTGCATGGCTTGAATGTTGGCTGCGGACAGTTTGCCACAAAATTGAAATAATTAATTCCAATGTATTAGAGGATTAAACACTAAATAAGAACGTATTGAAATTCTGGCCAGTCTATCTGAGTGTTGTGCTGGAAATTAGTAAAAACTGGCTTCATCGGAGATACGTACTTGTAAATTAACTTTGGTCCTCGCATAGGGTCTCTGTTCTAGGTTTCTCTGATTAGAGTGGGAATGCAAACCTCTGGTCTCCGAATCCTTCTCCACGCCACCCCACCCCACCCTTGCTTGGGCATCTACGAGAATGTCTGGGGACTCTCTGTTTATGTGTGAATTCTCCTGTCTCTCTTTGCAGCTGGGATACATTCTGGTGGAGGGGGTGAGGGGTACACCTGGCTTTTGGGAGGACGGTGAGGTAGAGGCCTGGGGACCATACTGAGATCACGCCAAAGTCCTTAGAACACAGGCAGCAGACTGGCCCGAGGCCCCAAAGCCGCTTGCCGGTACGCTGGCTCGGACGCAGGGTTTGACCTTCTCAGTGTTCGGGACATTTTAGAATCGGTGCCGACACTTAAAAAGTCAATATATTTTACATAAAAATCTGACCTCCTGCCTTCCCCTGAAGAACCAGCTTTAATAATCCTGGGCTTGCATTCCAGTGGGTGGAGGCTGAGCATCAATCAGTCAACCATTTCCGAAGGGAGGGACTCAAACTTCTCAGTGTGTCCTGGGCTCCACCGCTCCCTTAGGCTGGGCCCACTCAACTCAGTGATGGCCCTTTCCTGGCCACTGTCTGGTCCTTGGGGGCTGTTGAGTTTACCATCTTTCATTTATAACATTTCCTACAAATAGAAATTTCTCTGCTTATAAGAAAAATGTCATCCTGAGAAAAAAGGTACTTACTGAGTAATATCGATACTAGCTAACATAAAGCACATACTATGCATCCATGTGCCTGACATTATTTATTTGTTTACTTATTTCTGTCCTCACTGGTAGACATTTTTTATTGCTTTTTTTAGAGAGAGAAGAAGGAGAGAAGAAGAGAGAGAGAGAAACATTGATCTGAGAGAGAAGCATTGATTGGGTGTCTTCCCTATGCACTCAGACCAGGGACCATACGGGCCCAGACCAGGGATTGAACCTGCAACCCAGGCATGTGTCCTGACTGGGAATCAAACTCACAACCTTCCAGTTACAGGATGCTGCTGCAACCAGCTGAGCCACGCCAGCCAGGGCCCCTATTTATTTTGAAATAGCAGCTTTATTTAGATAAAATTCACACGCCCAGAGATGTCAAGAACATGGTTCAGTGGTTTTTAGTATATCACAGGGTTATGCAACTATCGCCACAGTCACTTTTAGGACATTTTCACCACTCTTGAAATTTCCATCACCCTCTGCCCATGGACCATCCCTCTCCCCTGGACACCCCAGTCCTAGGCCATTGCTAGTCTCCTTTCTGTCTCTGCAGACTTGCTTATTTTAGCCATTTCATAACAGTAGAGTCATACCGTATGTGGTCCTTTGTGACAGTCTCTTTTCAAGATCCATTCATGTAGCAGCATGTATCAGTGCTCCATTTTTTTAAGTTGCTGAATCATATTCCATTGCATGGATATATCATGGTTTATTGATCTCTTCGCCCACTGATGGACATGTAGCTTGTTGCCACATTTTACTATTAGGAATAATCCTGCTTCAAACATTTCTGTACAAACATTTGCATGGACATGCTTTTATTTCTTTTGGGTCTGTGTTTTGTGTACAAAAATGAATAGAAATGATGGATCACATGATAACTCTATGGTTAACCATTTTAGGAACTTCTAAACTGTTTTCCAAAGCGGCTGCACCATTTTATGTTACTACCAACAATGTATAAAGGTTCTGATTTCTCCACATTCTCACCAACACTTATCTGTCTTTTTGTTATAGTCCTGTCAATGGGTATGAAGTGTTATCTGATTGTGGTTTCGATTTGCATTTCCCTGGTGGCTAATGGTATTGAGCATCTTTCCCTGTGCTTGTTGGCCATTTGCCAGCCCTATTTTAAATGCATATGTGTAGTAGCTCTTTGCTCCACAATAACCTTGTGTGATAAGTACTAATATTACCAGCCTTCCCTATCACACGCCAAGTTCAGACTTCTGGTTGCAAACTTTCTTTCCGGAGAATGAAATCAATCCTTATTACGTACAAGGAAACCTGAGCTCCTGATTCTGGTTAGGCATGTAAACATCAAAGAAAGACTGTCCGATATGTAGTTTGCACTTAATAGCCAGTGCCTAAGCAATTCCTATTTATCACACCTTTCTTGATTCAGGGACTTGGCATGTGCTGTTTCCTCTTGAGGAGTACTTCCCTGGCTAACTTCCGCTCCTCTTCTAGATGCTCCAGGAGGCTTCTCTGGCCCTCCATCCTAAACCTGGACACAGTGTTCTCACAGCCCTGTGGACTTACCACGATAACATGCGTTCACTAGTGCCTTCATAGTTTTCATCTTTCTTTTAAACCAAAGATTTTGCTTTCTGCACTTGCTTCAAATGTACATTTGTAGTCTGCCTTTTCTTTTCATTCAACACTGTAGTACACAAGTTGTTGGCATAAATGAAAACATGATTTTAGGTGGCTACAAAATATTCTATTCAGTGATTATAAAATAGCTCATATGACTATTTTTTTTAAAAAAGTGGTTGAATCATTCCATTGCTGTGTTATGGTAAATACCACTGCTATGAACATCTTGATCATAAAGCTTTATTCCATATTTAGGAATAGTTCCTTCAGGCAGAGTCTGAGCAGTGAAACCACTGTGTCAGAGGCACGGGTGAGGCCGGGGTATGTGCTGCTAAAGCCCTGGCAGAAAGATGTTGCTGTAAGACGGACCCACATATACATGACAGCGCCAGCAATGAGCTTATTATCATTCTAAAAGAATCTTTGCTTTAATCGGCATTTCTCTGATGAACAGTGGGGACAAATCTAATAATTGCACACACGATGGAAGCATATCTTAATTGATAGCCCCATTAAAATGATAGATACGACATCACGGGTACATTTTCTCGAAGGAACCCAAGAAAGACTGAACGAGAACATTTGCTGGTGAGGATAAGAGAACGAGTGGCCCGAACCGCCTCAATAAAACTGCTGATAGTGGGATTTGCAGATAAGGCAGAAGGACATCTGGCTGGACTATATAACTCCGCAGCTCATTTTCTGCGCCTTATCAGGACACAGGCCTGCTCCCCTGTAAACGGCGGCTACACCTGGCAGTGCAATAAAGAGATCTGCACGTTGCAGGTGGACAGGAAGAGCTGCCGGAGACAGCTCCCGGTGCGGGTGACAGAGTGGGAGATAGAGAACGTTGTGATTGGAAGAGCCCAGTGAGCAGTGGGAAGGCAAGAGTTTCCACGCGTTTTATTTTAGTTTAACTTATTGGGGGAATAGTTTATTTCTGTGTGAAATCTCAACGTGGAACTGGGTGTGGGAGTGGCAGACAGAGGCAGGGGGACCATTTGGTCTGCTCTCTCATTCACAAGGGGCCCTGAGATGTTGGCCATGGTCTCCAGATGTTACAGAAGCAATCCCAGAGACATGCTGAAATGATGAAGGAAGATTTCATTCTTTGACTTTCCTCCAAGCACTTGATGGTACATGTATTAATCACTCAGTCCTTGAAGCAACCCAGTCTGATGGATACGGTTCTTGTTTACATCTGGCAGAGGGGGTTAAAGACTTTGCCTGGGATCAAACAGTTCGTGAAGGGTAGAGCACGGATTCAAACCCAGGCCTTTTGAAGAGGGCAGGACAGAGACTTTCAAATCGAAGAGAACAAGCTACTGATTAAATGATCAAAAGACTAGTCACTTAGAAAATGTGGTCCATTGTGGTAGATCTGATATTTTTTTAAGCTACATTTTTATTGAAAATAACGTTAGCCGACCTTGGGTCCCTGAATGATATCAATCAAATCAAGCAGTTTAAAAAAAGGCAGAAGACATGGCTGTCACAAACGTCAAACAGACCCTCATTGAGTTAATTGAGGGTCAGAATATGAAGAAAGAAATGGACGTGTTTATTAACAGTCCATTTACTTGTAGATTGTCACATTCAGAATTTAGGAAGTGGGGAGTGTGGTGGTTAGAGAACACAGGGCCTCAGGTTCAAATTCTGCTGACCCTGCTCTATAAGTCGGGACTATTCAGACTCTGTGAGTCTCAGTCTTCTCATCTTTAAAATGGGGATAATGACAGTACCTACCGCATAGAGTTCTTGGGAGAACTAAACAAGAGCATACACACAATGTACTTCTATCGTCTGGCACGTCATAAGTGCTCAATAATTGTTAACTGTTAATATTTATTCATTCTTTGTTTCAACCAATGTCTGCTTAGCCCCACCTGTACTCCACTGGGTTAATGGAAATGTTTTGGATGGCCCAGGAAAGACACAAGGTAAAATTTGGAAGCCAACGGTTTTAGCTACAAAAACCCCTTTGCTGTGAAATGTGTTGACACGTAAACAGTTTTGGGAGATGGGATTGCGTAACTTACTGAAGCAGAGGCGTAGACCAAGAGAAAGGAGTGGACGCAGGGTCTAATGGACAAACAGACTCAGAAGCACCCAGATGCGAGGACTTCCTGCCACAGACGTGAATTGTGCTCCTTTTGGCTGCCTACGATGAACAAAACAAAGCAACAAAAAATCTAGTGCTTCACTGGTCCTTAGGGTCAAAACAGG